TAATTGGTAAATGTACGTGAAAAGTGCGTCATTGGCTCTCGGATTTTAATTGTTTATATTTGAGTACAAACTTTTTTATTTTGATTCAAAATTAGTTCACAAGTAGTAGATAATGTTAGGCTAGTTGATTTTGATTTTATGAGAGTTGGGGGTGCTAGCTTGACGTCAAGCTAGCACCCTCACTTTTGGATGTGGTTTTTTTATTGTTTATAGTTGAGTACAATTTTTTTATTGTAGTACAAATTTAGTACATAATAAGTACACAATTATAGGCTAGTTGATTTTGAATTTTGAACAAGTTGGGGTTCCAGCTTGACGGAGGCAGCTGAGGAGGAGCTTTTGGTGTGAGGGTGGGGACCATCGGAGGGGTGTGATTAGATCAGATTGATTAGTAGTTACGACAACTGCTAAGGTCAGTAGTCCCGTTAGTGTAGTACATGTTTTTTTCTGGATGGCATGATCCGGCGCCGAACTTCTCGTCGACTAGTGTAATCAAAATTATTTTCGAAAGAAAATCCAGAGTTCAAACTTTCAAGAAGAAGGTCCCACACAATACGGCGTCAATTATTGCATACATTTAGTACCAATCTAAAGACAATTAAAGCATAATTTTTAAGCTTCAAGGATAAACATTAGCTTTTCATCTAATGAAAATATTCGATTAGCATTGCTAATTTTTAGAATGGAATAAAAAATAATATACAAGTGTGCATTTAATTTTGTATTCAACACTCCGTCGTGCGGGGTTATTTGTAAAACGAATATCTTGAATAGAAAATTTCCATTCAGCTTGAATTTTATTAGATGGCAATCGTATGCAATAATTAACGACACATTGTATTTATAATTTTCGAGTAATAATTTCGTTCAAGAGCAGGAAAATCAGGTGTAAAGGCCGGTCCGGATGGTTGAGATCGCTAAGGCAGTAGTGCCCTGGTAGTCTTGGACCGAAGGATCTCGGATTCGAGTCCCGCCTCGGGCATGGTTGTATTGTATTGTGTTCGTCCTTTCACCCCTGTCATCATCATATCGTGTCATCCTCACAGTTCCCATGCCGTTACAAGCAATAGTGGTCGCTAACGACCTAGTAGTTGATGTGACCTTAAAAAAAGTAACGGAAGATATCGTTAGTTCTGCATTTCTCTCTTGGTTTTCATGAAAAGGCACGCGGAAGTAAGGGCCTTGAGATATATACTCGCACTTCGCTCGAGGCATTCTGCATCTTAATTCGCAATCCTGTAACTTCGTCTACAAATCAGCATACATGACTCGAATCTCTTGCATCGAGAAAGAGGCTCTCCTGTACTAGAGAAAGGTTCACCTACATTCAAAAACGCAACTGCAGATTGGTTTCTTCAGCGGTTCTTGAACCACAGGTAAGGCAAGATGCTGTTCATAATTCAGACCGTAATTTCCTTTTCACAGCCCACACTAACAAAGAGTCAATAAATAAAGATACGAAAATTATTTATTTAAATTGATGAATTCGCATACGGATGCCGGATCAGGGATCTTAGGAATGGAAATAAAGAGACATGAATAAACATCGTCGAAATAGAAAAAAAATTCAAAACAGGTCATGACGAAAATACGAGACTCTTCAATGTCGACTGAATTATGGATACCAGCAGGAACAAAATGGAAGGGGCGTGGGCATCATAAATATATTCTTGCATCGTACTATAAATACACAAAATCATCTTGGCTCGGCGGTTTAGTTAAAAACATGAGAATGCGTTTACGCCTGCAGGCCTTCAGAATAATTGGTTTGTAAAACAACTTCTATCCGTTTCAACTACTGTGCTACGAAATCTAAGTAAATTTTCTCCTTTTGAATTCTGAGCACGGGAAATGTTATTCACCTGGGTCATATGATTGCTAATGTAGTTTTTTTAAATACATGATTTACAATGAATATTTTCATTGTTTTTAAGTCAACTAATTTTAAGTTATGAAAAATAATTTATTTTTGTACCATTCTATTCACGATATTTTGTTCCGTTTCTACTTTTTTGTGTTTGGTCTTAAATTTTTATTTTATTACATCCAAACTGCACTTCTGATTTAGTGGTCTTTCATCCTCTCTTCTTTCTAACTTATGGATATTTACTCGAAAAAATGAGTTCAGTCTATCACGAAGTAGGAGTTGAAGACGATTAAAAAATGCATGCAACTATTTTGTTGAAGTGGTGGTTGTGGTAGAATCAGTTTTGAAATTCTCAATTTTGCTACTATAACTGCTGTTGCTACTGTAGCTGTTGCTACTGTAACTGTTATTGCTGTAGCTATTGTTCTAGTAACTTGTAGTGACTGTTTTTTTAGTAGCTGTTGTGACTGTTGATATTGTTGCTGTTACTAATGTAGCCGTTGATGCTGTAGATCTTGATGTAGGGACTGTTGTACTGTTACTACTGAAGCAGCTGCTATTGCAGCTG